TAAATAAAGACGAGCGGTTTCTGAAGGCACAGGTTTTGTTTGAACCCCCACTAGGCCATCCCTAAGTGACATTTCCATTTTGTACTATATTTAAATACACGCATATATAGTTAAAGTTGGATATATATAAACACCATGTTAGCTGAAAAAGAACAACAAATAGTCAATTATATGTAGAATATTACAAACTAATATCAATGACTATACGAATATCATTAACCTGCCAAGTTGTGCGCTATATTAATAATAACAGTAATAATAAATGACAATAACTAAGATATCACCATGTAATAATAACAGTTATAATACATACTAATAACTAAGATATTATGATGTAGTAATAAGAGTTATAATAAATACTAATAACTAAGATATTATCATGTTATACTAACAGTAATTATATATAAATACTAATAACTAAGATATTATCATGTTATACTAACAGTAATTATAATAAATACTAATAACTAAGATATTGTCAACAGTGATTTAGCAGTTAAAGACAAACTTTACAATAACCTGAGAATATAACTGCAGCAATAATAGTTCGATATTTGCTTAAGTTTGTCCCAAATAAAATAAACACAATACCTAGATGTAGCCCCATATATGTACAATTGTTTTCAATTCTTCATTTTTATGACATGACGCTGTTCATATAACTAAAGCCATGTCTTATAGATGTATGAAAGTTTCCAGCTTAGTAACTTCATTACAATTTAACAAAGCACGACAGCTATGTCAGAAATTATCTGTCAATAATAGCACAATCTAAAACATGAAAGGGTTCATATACTTAGTAGATATGTGAATGGAGTGTCACCCTTGCGGCTTCGTGCATGCATAAAGTCTACCAAACAATTAATAATACATGATGAATAATTTCAAATTACATTGACATAGCATTTTTGTACAGATAGATAAACTGATACAGTGGCATAGCCGGTTATGGCAAGGGCAATGCCCCTGGCTTCGTTAACAAAAACATTTCTCTTAAATTAGGAGAGAACTAATACTTATGTAATAATTTCAACTGACACTGACAAAACAATGTTTTTACAATTGACAATGACATGACATTTTAACAGATGTTTTAAGTACTTGACAGTGGTGTGGCAGGACATGACAACTACAATGTAGGTCACAGTTGCAAGCAAAACAAATTTCTAACAGTACCGATTCACATTAACACAACTTCTTTAACATATAGATATGAATATAAAAAAAAAAAAAAAAAAAATTTTGACAAATAATGATCTTTTTAATTGACAGTAGTATGGCTGGGTGTGCCACTGACAATGTCGTTGACAATTGTGAGCAGAGCAGTCTTAAGATATAACTAGTACATGTTAAATATTTTCAATTGGCAATGTCGTGATATTGATGAATTTAACAGTGGCATGACAGGACATGACATGAGTACAATGTCGCTCACAGTTTAATACAAAAACAAGTTTTATTAAATTAAAGGAAACCCATTACATGTTAAATAATTTCTACTGGCACTGGGATAATGCTATCTATGTTTGATTAAAAAGGAAATGACAGTTTTGACAGATAGTGATCTTCGTGTTTGACAGGGACAATGTCCCTGGCCGGTTATGACAAGGACAATATACCTTTGCTTCGGTAATAAGTCATGTCCTTAACTTAACAGAGAGCTAATACTTCTGAAATAATTTCGACTGAAAATGGCAAAACAATGTTTTCAATTGACAATGGCATGACATTTTTAAATATCTAGGTCCTTGACAAATGGTATGGCAAAACATGGCAACTACAAAGTCGCTCACAGTTTGTAAACAGAAGAACGTGTTTCCGACTGACTTTGGCGTAACTGTTTAACACATAAATATCAACTAACCTAAAAGAAGACTAATACATGTTAAATATATTCGATTGACAATGACATGACAGTTTGACTGAGAACGCCAAGTTAAATAATTTCAATTGACGATGACATTAAAAAAAAGAATAATAATAAATAAATGCTTTAGAAAAATCTAATAAATGTTAAATATTTTCAATTGGCAATGAAATGACAGATAATGATCTTTATACTTGTCAGTAGTATGGCAGGATGTGACACTGACAGTGTCACTGACAGTTGTGAGCAAAGAAGTCTCTATATAACTAATACATGTTAAATATTTTCAACTGACAATGTCTTAGAAATTTGACAGATAATGATCTATGTATACTTGACAGAGGCATCACAGGACATGACACCCCCATTGTCATGTCAGTTGTAAACAAAGAAGTATCTATTAGCTTAAGAAAACCTAATACGTGTTAAATATTATCGATTAACAATGACATGACAAATATGAAAGAAAATTGCCTAACACCCCCACCCCCTCCCCCAGCGTTATAGCAAAAAATATTCTATCAATGTGGATGATATCTATAACATGTAAAATTTAGGTGAGCACAATCTGTTACAAGTGTTAATATTCATGATGGTAATACGACAGTTCTAATTTAGTACTAATGTAATCTATTTAAATCAATCTTATCTGTAAGTAATTTTAACATACATCTTATTGGTATAGTTTAATATTTTGATTTTCAACCGCATGAGAATTATTAATTTGGACCGATTGGCCTTTCTGTAGACTTAAATATATCTATTCCACTTTTGTAGCTTAACATGACAGTCATAGTAATGTCAATTGTTGTTACTTTGTTTTAACAATCTATAATATAATATGCTATTAATAGTGACATGTGGTAGAATAGGGGCTACCAACTTATATGCGTAGTTATTATAAGTGTGTGCTTATTATAAGTATTATCTAATGGCAGGCATATTATCAACCTGACAAATACGTGACATATGACTTGACATGACATTGACATGACATGACACAATGATGACATGCCAGAGCTTTATAGTAAAAATGATTATCCAACCAATGTGTTTAGCATATTCTAGAACTTAGATTAAGTTTTCTGAAATATAATCTAGTATAAATTATATTATATTTGACAATAACATGGTAATTATAACCTACAATTATAAGATTACTAATAAACATCTAGTGTTTCGTGTGCGTTAAGTGGGTCGCCAATTTTGTAGCCTGGTATATCGCTTTTCTGGTTAATTCGAATTGGGTCACTCCCTTTACCATCATTTAAGAACTCTCGGAAATAAATCCTTCCATCAAACGTCCAACAACTATGCAGATCTTTGGAGCGATATGCTTTTCTAGCAAGACTAAAAAGATACGATCGTCGTCTTGTAAGATCTTCGTTTATGTAGACTGTAGGATTGTTTGCACGGGATATTTTCAACTTTTTACGATCACTCATAAGTTGTCTTTTGTGTTTGTAGCTAGATAGTCGAACAATAATTTGGCGGGGCCCATTTTCTGTTTCTCCCTTTGTATTATACGGGATTTTCTTTCTCCCTATTCGATGACAATTATCTATATGACCGTGACCAAAACTAGGACATACACAGTTAATTATTTCAAGGGCAACATCCTCTACATTTTCATCTGCATTTTCACCTACCCCATTTATCCGGACACAATTCCGACGACTGTATTGCTCGAGTTCGTCTGTATCATTGATGATTTTTTGTTCTAGATCCAGTGCACAGCTTAAGCTTGGCGCAGACGGTCAACTTTTCGTCGCTTGTTGCTGCAATAGGCAACTACTGGCAACTCCGAGCAATTGGCAACTCGAGGTCTCCCGTGTGCGCTGACTGGCAACGAGAAGCAATTTTTCCCCGGATGTATCCGGAATGCCGATATCACGTGATCATGTTAATGTTGTTAGCTGTTCCATCTTGAAGTATCACATGACAGTAGAGCGCTCGCTGATTGGACAGTTAACCAGTTGCTTGTTGCCTGTTGTCGCCTACCGCCGCAGGCGAGCAATTTTGAAGCAACAGATGAACAATTTCTCGGCGACGAGCGAATTTCTGTTGTCGAATATCAAACATGTTTGATATTTGGCAACGAGAAGCAACTCGGAGCAACAGCAGGCAACTATTGTTGCCCGTTGGCGCAGACGAGCGATTTGTTCTTTCAACGACCAGCGATTTCACTGTTGCCTGAAAGTTGCTCGAAAAAGTTGTCCGTCTGCGCCTGGCTTTAGTAACTGTCCTTTTAAGTCTTCGATTTCCTCTTTTAGGGGTTTAATGAAATCTTTTATATTTTCTTGCAAGAGTTCTTTAATAGAGAGCTGTAGAGCTTTTTGGACATTTGGTAGGCACAAAGCCTCGGCAATTTTTTCTGAGATTGAGTCAGCGGTGGAATTTAGAAAAAAACGCTTTCCATGGTATCGCTATCATCAGGTAAAAGAACAGAGGAGGTGGATTCTGGTGTTTGGTTAAAGTTAAAGGTCTTTGAAAGGGTGTTTTCGACGATGGTTTTAGGGACTGTATTCTCTATATCATTAGGTTTTGATAAGGACGTTTCCCGTAGCTCACTTTGGGTTAACATTGATTTGCTTGAGTTCCACATTCTTACTTCGAACGCTCATTAACAATATAGCAATCTGATTAGAACACAGATCTATATTTCGTTTCGTATTTTTTATACTTTCAATGGCCTTTACTACATAAAGATCTGGCCAGTTGTAGTGGAAGGTCGCGTCAGAGTTCATACAAGCGTCTTTGAACCTATGACGTCAGACATTTGATTAACCAATCAGCACTGATGTTTTTAGTAGGATACCAACAGTTCCGCGCACATTACGCCAAAAGCTCGTCGTAACAGACCATTTCATTGGCTAATACCTCACATCATCCATATCCTAATGTAGTAAAGATAAGTAAATCGAAATTTTGAACTATAAAAACGAAACGAAATAGGATATGTGTATTAATCAGATTGACAAAATATCTAAAATTCGCCAAAAATACCTATTTGCTTCTACTCACAGCAAGTTCTAGGGTACATGAGAAACATTTTGATACATAATTTTATATTTGACAATAAAAAGGATTCATTTTACTTGAATATGTGTTTTATAAAGGTGTATTGTTTTAGAGGATGAAATCACACGGCGGGGGTTTACTTGGGAAAATGTTCAAAGAATCAGAAGATGATAAGGAGATCGATGAGAAGACTATTAAAGGAATCGTTGTTGACTTGGTAGCGGCTGGGTATTTAACAACGAAGGGGGCTTTAAGTGGATTTTTTCTGTTGATGCTCTACTATCCAGAGATTCAACGCCGAATTCAAGAAGAAATAGACGAAAATATTGGCATGGACAGAGAACCAAGTCTGGATGATCGAGGAGTAATGCACTATACAAACGCCGCCATTTTAGAATGTTTGCGATTCATTAGTCACATTCCAACTGGAATTCCACACGTGACTAGAGAAGAGATAGAAGTAGAAGGAATGAGGATTCCAGCCAAGACTGCGGTAAGTACAATCCTTTGTCATTGGACATTTCATATTCCATCATTGGGATCAGGGCTTATACTTATTGTACAGTTGCCCCATACGCCGGGCCCTGTACTTATTGTAAAGGTGTTCTTTTGAATATAATATATTATAATGAAATACTCGATGTACACTTGAGACGACAAATTAGTGTCAGTGAGCCCCCAGATACCCGTGAGCCCTAGTTCGATGGCCTACTATGCCTATTATTAAATCCGGCAACCCTAACCCAACCCTTATGATAAACAAGGTGTAATAGTCGCAGGCCGTACACTAGTTTACCCACCCACCTACTTAAAGGGGTATTTTCAGAGATTAGATAAATAAAGAGTTGACAGTTCTAACTATAATAGTTTTAAAAAAAACTAGATAATGTAAAGGGATTATGTTGCAAATTTTAGACAAATTGCTCCACTCTGAACCGAGATATAAGCTTTCGAATGGTTGAATGGTCTAACATATGCGCTTTACGTCATCAGGTCTGTCATTGAGTCACGTGGCGTTAGTCGACTGTCCAACCGCGTGGGTTTTCTCCCGGTCATCCGGTTTCCTCCCGCTGTTAAGACAAATCTACGTGCAAGGGAATTATTGAAGTAAAGTTGAACCATATGTTGGTACCGAAATAACAAATGTGTAACACTATCTTAGTGATAACAGACATCAGTTTAGTAAATATATCATTTATTTGATTTATTTACACCGGAGCAGAATTATTTCACATCTACATACAAAACAATACAGGAACTTAAACTAATATACAGGAACTAGACTACGACAGGAACACATCAGGGCGGTACACAATTATATTGAATCGCCATTCCGCCCCTCTGCCAAGGCAGCGGCTGAACTCGGGCGAGTCCATCTCTCTGTTCGTCTCTCCTCCTCTCTCTAGACGTTTAGTCCCGAGATGACCTAGTTTGTGTCGAGTGGACGTTAAACCCCATTTCTCTCTCTCTCTCTCTCTAGACGTCTGCAAACTCCTAGTTATATACCCTGCGACCATAGATAAGACCCATGATCATACATGCAATTGTCTCTTTATCACGCCATGGTATGATTACTGACCAGTGCGTATGCCTTTGAAGTCATGAAGAACTTATACCCAGATCATATGTAGTTTGTAAATGACATATGGGATTCATTATATGTTTAATTAGATCATAGCCAGTTCGTGCCTTAACAGAAGTATATACACAGTTGAAAAGTCAATATAATATATTATCTAAAGCATGGTGTACTCGTTTTTTCTGGGCCATCCAATTTATCGAAGACATATAACGGGACACATAAATTTGTCTGTATTGTAACCGCTGACTTTGGCATGAGACGATATCTGATTACAGCCGTTATTTGATTGTAATTATAGTCCGATATGGATATAACGATCGTCTAGTTGTGGCAGATCTACAACTGTTATTTGTCTACAAATGCACCGACTGGGATAATGAAGTCGGACATACGCCATACAGTATGCTGTGAGGAATATTGCCCGGACAACTGCGCCAGGGCCACCTCTTATATCGAATATCAACCGTCAAAGGTTATTATACGTTTACACGGAACCTCGTTTGTTTGTTTTTTTGTCCCATCCGAACGATTGTCAGGCCTTCCGTCCTCCACCACTAAGGTTATTTTACGTGTACACGGAACCTCGTTGTTTTTTTTTTTTGTCCCATCCGAACGATTGTCAGGCCTTCCGTCCTACACCACTAGCAAAGGAGGGGGTGGGGGCATGCCGTTAGAAGAGTGTGTTTCATACTTATGATTTTCACAGAAAACGTTTGATTTATTTATTATAAATGTTAATAAATTAATTTGAGTACATTTTATCGTGGATTTAGCCTTGAACAATTTCATATTGTTTGAAAAATGCAAATGAAAAAGACGATCGCCAAGTTTGGTTTATCATTGTTTTTGTAAATTCCAGATGGTTACAAATTATTGGACAACGAATCGTTCAGATAAATACTGGCATAAACCTGACGTTTTCTCACCTGAAAGATTTTTAGATGATGATGGGAAACTTCTTCCAAGTGAACATATTTTACGATCACAGTAAGTTCATGGTTGTATTTCTTCTAATTAAATCTCAAGAGGTAACATATGCTGAGTGTTATGGCTAAAGTACCTATTTGTATACGCCCAAACGTATAGTTTAACCGTATATAATTGTCGCACCCGTTCGTCAACAATTGTCTTGTGAACACAATATAGGTCACGAGAGTACTCACCCTGCCCATATGGACACAGATCACTAAAGATTTCCCCATTGACTCCAATGTTGATTCTCGTATCTTAGACCGGCTCTAACTTTTTCCCAAATTTTCGTTGGGTAGAACGCTTTCTACCACAGATGGAGCAACATGTGGCAACCACTTGCCCAAAAGCACGTATAAGGTTCTTCATGAAAAACTTGAGATACACAAGCTGGAAGTAGAGACAAGTAAACATGCAATTTCAGGCCCTACATTTCAACGTAACCAACCTCTCAACTCTTGTATCCTTCCGCATCAAAATTATGAATATTCACCAAAACCTGGCAGAAAATGTATTTTCAAACCCTTTTCCTCAATTCTACACCAAAAAGTCAACAAAAATCGCCATGCAAAAGGGGGAAACAGGAAAAGGGAGAGGAAGACTAAAAATAGCTTTGGCCCTTGGTGACGGCGTAGGAATATTTGGTGATCTGTGTCCATATTCAGCGTTACGCGAATTGCCGTTCCAGAGTTATGCACCGTTTTCCGACAGCCCTGTGAACGTGATGGAGGCTATAATTTTAACAGATTTTTTTTTCAAATTTGGAGGGAAGCATTTTGGTCGATACTAAGCGTTCCAGGTCAATAAAAACTAGGTCATTTCGGGACTAATATATGATTAAATTTTATTTCACTTAGGGTAGGGGTCTTCAGCAGTTCCAGAAAAACCGGCAGTATTTTTTATGTAGGCTAAGTAGCTGATCGTTACACCTTTTCGGATACAATAACTCTACTTCTAATTGGAGTAGAATTTTTAAACTTGGTATGTGCTTTACCTAGTAACGATGATGACCATTTTCTGCTCTGGCACAGATGGGCAAATCGATAGGGTGAGGTGGGTGGGGGTGGATGGATGGTTAGCACGTGCGCGCTGTATCATAAAGTCAGTCATTGAGTCAACGGGCGTGGTTTCGATTCCCAGCTTGTACATAACAAGGAGTAGGGTCGCTTGTCCAACCTCATGGGTTTTCTCCGGGTGCTCCGGTTTCCTCCCACTGCTACAGACACCTACGCGAAAGCTAATTATTGAAATAAAATTGAAGCATATGTTAGTCCCGAAATGACCTAGTTTGTGTCGAATGGAAGTTAAACTCTCTCTCTCTCTCTCTCTCTCTCTCTCTCTATCTCTCTCTTTATAAAAAGATAAACGTGCAAGTAATTAACAGGTGGACTGAGGCGAGGGACATAAACCTCATTGTTGACATGTTCCTTTTCAGGCTGATGCCATTTGGAGTTGGAAAAAGAAACTGTGTCGGAGAATCATTTGCCAAGTCTCGTATGTTCCTGTATGTGACGTCATTACTACAGAGGTTTAATTTTTCAGCAGGTGGAAATGAGTTGCCGCCCTTGGATTCTACAACATGGAAACCAAATAGTGTCATGCATCCAGACTTTCTTAATTGCATCGTGCGTATGAGATAAAATCTCTTAGAGACTACCCACCTGTTTATATAAGCTTAAAGATGCCTCTACATATTACAGGTCTTTCTTTTGGCCTCAGATGTTATATATGTTTGATTATAACCCATAATCAACCCTCTAGACCGTCGGATGGTCATGATTTTAATGGATAAAAACACGATCACCGTTTAATAATTCAATTTTAAAATGGATGATCGATGTTAGCAATGAAAAATTCGAGACTACGTACGCTGTTCTTATCAGAACTCCCAACATTTAACTTCGCTCAGAATAAAGTAATTTGACTGAAAACTTCCCACATTCATTACTTCGCTCAGAATACAGTAATTTGACTGAAATTTTCAATATATTTCGTTGTCTTTATCTGTTGTTAAATTATTATAACTGTCGGGTCCTTATCTAACTCTTACCCTAACCCTAACCCTAACATAATATCATCTTTTGTATTATAGTTTTTTCACGAAAGGCCGGATGGTAGAAAGGCTTCTGCAGCCTAATCATTTTCCCTTCTAAAATAAAGTTATTATTATTATTCTTATTATTACGATAATGATCGACAGCGACTTGGATCAACATTCTAAGAGTCCCCGTTTAAGCCAAACTGATTAAAATACAAATTTACATTTCGTTTGTTTTTTATTTTATACTGATAAGTTATAGTGGGAGTTTACGTCAGCGGTCAAATGAGCGGCTTTTGACCCTATGACGTCAGACATCGATAAATCAATCAGCCTTGACGTTTCGAGTGGTTTAGCCTCAGTTCCATGCATCAAAAGACCAAGAACGCGCCGTAAAAGACTGTTTTATTAGCTAATCCCTCACTTCAACCAAGACGCCGGTAATATAACAACTCTTCCAAATCAGAAAGATGGCGGGTTTTCATTTACCATAAGTAGAATACGTGCCGTTGTTTTGATTAATCGAGTGAGCAGACTTCGATCTCCGGTGCCACACAACTTTAACCAGCAGAGCCTTTTTTTTTAAAGTGCCTTGGAACATGTCCTTGCGCTGGTGAGTGAAAACCGTACTCTGAGAAATTAAACGAGAGCGTTGCTACCGCTGCAACATACGTCCACATTCCTGCTTTGCTTACTTTTTAAAATGAAGAGAATAAATATGAAATGGCTGCAACGACTGTAATATGGCAAGAGACAAAAGACGCTAGGTGTTGGGGTGTTGGGTTTGTTTTGCAAAATTACAGATTAAATATTAACAAAAACATGGGCGTCACACCGCCCCTGGGGTTGAGGCATGCACGCTATCCTTATTCCAGCTGGTAGACAAAAAACACAAAAACTGTCCGTGGCTCTGTTCGTGACGGGGGGGGGGGGGGGGGGGGGGGGTGACATGGGCCAATATAAATAGATACAATAGTTGCAGGGCCATAACTCTGGCAGTAATTATCGGAAATCGCAGAAAATCAATAGGATTCTTCCCTTCATGACCTTAGATACTGTGTATAAATTCAAGTCAGTCAGATATTAACTTTAGCCTCTAGAGCGTCCACAAGATTTTTTAAGTGATCATGGGCCATAACTCTGGCAGTAATAATCGGAAATCGCTGAAAATCGATGGGATTCTTCGTCTCATGACCTTAAACACTGTGTATAAATTTAAAGTCAATCGGATATTAACTTTAGCCTCTACAGCGTCCACAAGATATTTTGAAGTGACCAAGGGCCATAACTCTGGCAGTAATAATCGGAAATTACTGAAAACCAATAGGATTCTTCGCGTCATGACCTTAAATATTGTGTATAAATTTATTTAAAGTCCATCAGATATTAACTTTAGCCTTTAGAGCGCCCACAAGATTTTTTTAAGTGATCAAGGGCTATAACTCTGGCAGTAATAATCGGAAAATCGCTGAAAATCAATAGGATTCTTCGTCTCGTGGCCTTAAACACTGTGTATAAATTTAAAGTCAATCGGATATTAACTTTAGCCTCTAGAGCGTCCATAAGATTTTTTTAAGTGATCAAGGGCCATAACTCTGGCAGTAATCAATGGAAATCGCTGAAAATCAATAGGGTTCTTTGTCGCATGACCTTAAACACTGTGTATAAATTTAAAGTCAATCGGATAGTAACTTTAGCCTCTAGAAAGTTCACAAGCAATTGTGGACGCCAGACGGACGGGCGAACGGACGGGGGCGACGACAATATACGACCACATTATACGATCGCAATTTTGGAATTTGGAATTTCGCATTTGGAATTTGGAATGAGTCTTCTGGGCTTCCGTAGGCCCAGGCATCTGATAGGTAAACTAGCACTAATTAGTTGTGTAAAATTTATTTAAATTCTAATTTGTTTAATTGAGGGGGCTGCCAATTTGCTATAAAAATAACATTTATACGGAACAGCAACATAAATTAAACAGGGGCTAAACTAAACCAGGATAACATTAATATAGTACATAATAGACAACCCTTCCGCCCTTCTGTCCGGCAGTGTTTGGTGTTCGATCCTTGCATTGGCCGAGAAAGTTCATCCAGATTTTCCGGCATGGTTCTCCCTTGTCAGTGTTGCAAGACGGAGGGGCTAACAAGGAAAGCTGTCTAGTCGTTCGGATGGGACGAAAAACCGAGGTCCCGTGTACACATTGGCGTGCACGTAAAAGATCCCTTGGCAGTTGGAATTCGATATAAGAGTAGGGCGTAGTGCTGCTGTCCGGGCAAAATTTCCCTCATAGCACACTGTATGGCGTATGCCCGTCTCCATTAGCCCAGGTTACGAGCAGAACAGTAGGACGTTAAACTCCATTTCATTTCATTTCATTTCCGGAAGTGTTTTGTACATGTAGGGTTTATTTACATCGGCAACGGGATACAAAATAGCTACATAATTAAACAGGAACTAAACTACACCAGGATTAAAACCAATAATATTAACACGGTTCATTAATAGACAACCATTCTGCATCAAAATCGGCGGAATTCGATTGAGTCCGTACGGTCCTCTCTGCTTCTCTAACCAAGTCTCTCGCCAACCATCTCTCTCCTCGTCTTCGCTCGTATCCCTCTCGTCTTTCTAAATAACTTATGATTATATACCAACAATATAGAAAGTTGATACGAACGTCTTTTAAGAAATTGAGTCTTACAACACAAGGTCATTACCATATATGGAGTCATTTAGATTAGCTGGCCACCAGGTTGTACAAAGATCATATGGAATTTATCAAGACCTTAATTACATACAATATCATATAGTATCAAAACCAGCTGGGGGTCGATAAGATCAGAAGTTCGACACCACCTGGGGGTTGATAAGATCAGAACCTTCGCCACTAGCTCGGGATCGATAAGATCAGAACTTCGCCACAACTATCTGAGTTGTGAGATTAGGAAAAAGTTAAAATTGAAAACAAAACGTATACTTTGTTAGTGCACACGTGACTTGTATTCCTTTTCGGGAAATTAGTTGTCTACGTTTAAGCACAGAGGCAAATATGTTTTTAAACAGAGATACCATATCAGAATTATTCTTTCTACGCTAGATTCCAGGTTTTCCAGTCTGCTTCATCCGCCATGGTGACATCATCACTTTCATCAACAACTAAACATTGTTTAGTTACCTCATTATAACTATATTCCACACAACCACATGGTAAATCTTCAGTAGGTGTCACACATTTAAGATTACATTCCATCTGGCTTCTGGTATGGTAACTCAACACATTCGAACCTTGGACTTTCTTGTTTCCTGGTAAGTGATTCCATGAAGAAGCCAACATCGTCGCACCAGTGTCTGTAAAACAAACAGCATCATATAAATAAATGAACGAGAAGGACGTTGTTACCAACCCCATTGCTGTTGGCTATCAGTCACACCCCATACAGGGAGCCAGGGTGGCTATTTGGGTAAGACGCTGGCTCGCTTGCCTGGAAATCACGTGTTCGATCCCTGCATTGACCGAGACAGCTGTCTAGTTGTTCGGATGGGACGAAAACCCGGGTCCCGTGCATACATTGGCGTGCACGTAAACGATCCCTTGGCAGTTGGAATTCGATATAAGAGTAGGCCATAGCGCCGCTGCCAGGGCAAAAATGCCCTCATAGCACACTATTTGGCGTATGCCAGTCTTCATTAGCCCAGTATAGGAGTAAAACAACAGTAGGACGTTAAACCCCATTTCATTTTATTCATCAACCAAAGACCGTTTTCTGACTGCTGACTGGCGTGGTTTCGATTCCCCAATTGTACGTGACAAGGAGTAGGGTCGCCTGTCCAACCTCGTGGGTTTTCTCCGGGTCCTCCTGTTTCCTCCCACTGCTAAAGACCCATACGCTCAAGCGAATTATTGAAATAAAATTGAACCATGTGTATAGTCCCGATATGACCTAGTTTGTGTCGAGTGGACGCTAAACTATCTCTCTCTCTCACTTCAAATTTGCAGGACCTAGTTTGTGTGTGTCTCTCCGACCTTGCACGGCCTTATTAATATGTAGCCGTTTAACAACATAGAGTTCCAATAGATATCCTACCAAAACAATATCTTACCTATATTCCAGCAGCCATCACTACCCCATCCAGTTAATAGGAACGCATAGTTAATTTCGCTTGGGGGATTCAACTGGTGATCCGCTATCGTATTTATATCAATTTTGTCTCCCTTTCCTAGTTTCAACAGTCCATTTTTCCAGCTAATCCAAAATGGGCGAAACTCTGAGCAATCAAGGAGAACTTCGTCGTGATTGGTATAATAATATGAAGATTGTACAGCAGGTCTGATTTGAGATTTGGTATTGCTGTCAGACCCAATTATAAATGCCAAGTTCCCTCGAGTTGTCAGATCAATCACAGCATCTTTCTGTAAAACTATATGCGCGTTGCTGCACGCTTTTACTAGAAATTTAAAACTGGTTACATTCATGACGTTAAATCCCTTTCTTGCTAATGGAAATGAACCATGCTTGTTATTAGGACTGTAAGCTCGTAAAGCAAGACAAACTGAAAACAAAAACAAGGTCATCAATGGGCTTAATCACAGATCAGTGGGTTGCACTTAACACTGTTAAACTGGTACTGTTTACTTACGAATCTAACTTACTAAAATAGGGTGCCCCATGCGGCGAAAGTTGAACTCGACACGGCGACATTGATTTCTTGCTAGTCACGCGGTACGATAACATTCTGCGCATGAGTCTGTGAGTCTATAAATAGCCATCTCACGTGATATTCTCTTCACATCAATCATCTATTACAGTCGTAAAAAATCTATTGTTGACGATTCTGAGTATTAGTGATATTTAGCGTTTTGGTTATTACAGAAGCTTTAGAAATTACGATCGTTTTATTTTTTAAACTGCTTTATCATTAACTATACCGTTTGGAGCGGCATCTTTTGGTTTAGTACAAATAATATCTCTGAAACACTCGGGTTAGGCAAGAACATGATACTAGCAGTAGTTTCATTTTACTTTTACAAGATTCTACATTCAATTTCTTGAATTATCCCAGCCTATCAATCAGACGGAGACTGGTCGAGACTACTTTCAAAACAAGCGGACGTAACTTATTTTTTACTCAAAAAAGCCCAGATGTTATGGCCGACACTCGTAACCATTTTTTTAGTCTATTACTTAATTTATCGATGTTTAAATGATCATAGCTAATTA